CCCGAGAGCAGAGGGGCCGCTTCCGTACGCTGCGCCGCCCTCACGTGACGAACGGCCCACCCGATGTGTTTGACCCGCAAACAGTAGAAGCATTTGAGGCGCTTTGGGTGTTCGTTCGCACCGCAAGTGGGGAGTATTCCACTAGTTTACTACAGAATCCACGGCGCGAGAGATGTCGCCGCACTTCGGCGCGCGCGGCTGTTGGGCGGGAAATCAAGTACAATTGCCCGGGCCTCCTGTACACGGCACCGCCCAAAAAAGAAAAAAGAAAAAAAAAAACAGACTGCCGCCACCGAAGTCCAATGACAAGTCGAAGGAACTAATTGCTGGCTCTTGGCTGCTCTCTTTGCGAGATGCTCATCCCTGGCACCACGTCAAGGCGGTTCACGTCTTCGTCAGGTGGGCGTGATCCGTAAAGCAAAGCAAATGCAAAGCCACGCCGCGGCCGCCACAGCCCCGCCCATCCCATACCCAAAGATCAAGAGCTACATATTTCAGATTCTCCAATCTCTTGCCTACCTGCATCAACGCGGGTACTTCCACCGGGATATGAAGCCTGAGAATTTGCTTGTCAGGGAGGACCCAACCTCCGCAGCTCAGGAAATTGTGAAGCTTGCAGATTCTGGACTCGTGAAGGAGATTCGGGCGCGTCCACCGTTTACGGATTACGTCTCCACGCGCTGGTACCGCGCCCCCGAGTTGCTGCTGCAAGACCGGTCGTACAGCAGCCCTGTTGACATATGGGCCGCTGGTTGCATATTAGCCGAACTCGTAACCACCCGTCCTCTTTTTGCGGGCAGCAATGAGGTGGATCAGCTGCACAAGATAATGAGCGTTTTGGGCTCACCAAACGAGCAGGTCTGGCCAGAGGGCATCGCCCTCGCGAAGAAAATACGGTACTCGTTCCCTGTGGTGAAGGGCGTGGGGCTCGAGCGCGTGCTTCCCCCACATTTACCACCGCAGGCTTTGGATCTGATGAAGCAGATGCTCAACTACGACCCGAAGAGGCGCCCGACAGCCCGCCAGTGTCTTCAGCACCCGTATTTTAATGTCGGCCTCGACGAGGAAAATTTTGCCCCTCCCAGTGTGACGAAGCAGTTGGCAAAGGCGATGAAAAAGTATGTCCCGGGCCCACAAAGTGCTCCGTCAGGGAACGTTCTCCTGCCTAGCGTGTTGAATGCAAGGCGTTCACCCGTGGGGGCCACGACGGCGTTGCCAAAGCAGGGGGCGGTGGGGATCCCTCCGCTCCTGTCGCCGCTGCAGAAGTTTTGTTCCCCCTCAAGTACAACTTTGACGTCCGCCTTTCTTGTTGATAAGACGGAGCAACACCCATCGGCGTCGAAGCCGACGCCAGCAGTCGGGCCTGAAGGCGCGGCCACAATAAAGTATGCCTCGCCAAAACTCCCTGCTCTGTCTCACGACACTGCCAAAGGTGTTGTGACCAATGTTATTTCCGGTGGTGGCGGTGGCGGCGGTGATAACGGCGATGTAGATTTGGATGGTCTTCTAAAGGAGTTTGAGAGTGAGCTCGAAACACTGAAGGTTGTTCCGCGGCAGAAACCAGAGGCCGGCTCCTCTGCTTTCGCTGCGGCGGCAAAGGGCGGCGGCCCCCACAGCCCAACGTTGGGGAAACCGCCTCTAGCTCAGGGCACCTCCACTGTGCCATCGGAGGGGAGGGAGGACATCGTAGAAACATTCCTTCACGCCACGCGGTACAAGAAGTCCTCGCTGTCTCTCATGGAGGGAGGCAGTTCAGCGCAGGCGACGGGACGAACCTCTCTGCCGAGGCACGACCCCCTGCCCTCGTCTCCTTTAGCACTGGGTGGCGGTCACCACGCGGTGTCACCATCGAGTAGGGCGATCTTGGCCAAACGCGCGAAGAAAGGGGAAGGTTCCTCCCCGTGAACCTCGCCCCGTGCTGGGACCCCCTCGTTGGATGCGCGACGATAGTGCATCGCCTCATGCACGATTGTGGATGGCCGCGTACGATGTTAAATACCCCATAGGACGCCGCGGCTCTTTGAGCACACAAGGACAGTGGCGGCGATGATATGTCGCAAACGTCTGTTGCTTTTTTTTTTTGGATTGCGCCTCGTGCTTCTACTTGTTTTCCTGAATGAGGGACTGGCCTCTCTACTTTCTATCCTCCCACCTTTTTTTTTCATTAAAATATTTTGCTTTGTTTCTGCTTTTCTTTTCTTTCTTTTTGCCTCACAACTGCCTTTGGCGGCCCCGTGGGCAACACCATGAGGGCAGCGGAGCAACCGGCAAAAGAGAAAAAAAGTAAATTCCAACCGGCCACGGCCATTGGGGAGGTGCACGGCTCTCACGTCATACCTCCGTCTTCACCTGACCAAAAACGACTCGCTGGCAGGTGCAGTAAGTAATAGGGAATAGAGTAATCAGCAAAGTCATTAATAAACACAACAAACCTTTTGACGCACTCCTCTGGTTTTTGCGGCCTCTTCTTTTCTCTCCGTGCCCCTCGCGTCATTGCCGAAGCAAGCCATGCCTAACGTCCAAATCATTATTGACGTCGTGCGGCAGGTGTGGGCGCGCGGCGTCACGCAAGGCATGAAGGTGGTGGCGACTTCGTCGTATGGGGCGTTGTTTCTAATGGGGGCTCTTGCCGTGACTTGGGCTTTCATCCTCTACTGGTTCTTCTTTGTGTTTATGCGGGGAGTTGTCATGGACCGATACCTCCGACACGTTCCGGAGGTCCCGGGGAAGGTTCCGGTGCTTGGTCACGCGCTTCTTCTGATGGGGGGATCGCCGTGGAGGAAAATGGCAGACTGGAGTCTCAACCCGTATTCCACCGCGGAGGAGGAGAAGAAGACGGACGCCACACCTGTCAACCGCGTTGTTCGTTTTACCGTCCTGCATCAGCGTGTTGTGTACATCAATGACCCGGCATTGCTGAAACGTGTTCTATTGACAAACCAGCGGAACTACGCGAAGGATATCGCGGTTTCATACAAGCATTTTATGTGCCTGCTCGGAACGGGGCTTGTGACGGCGGAGGGAGAGAAGTGGAAGAAGGGTCGCCTGCTACTTTCCCACGCTATGCGCATAGATATCTTGGAGGAGGTTCCACAGCTGGCAATGCGGGCCGCTGGGAGGGTCATGGAGAAGCTTGCCGCGCTCGACACGAAAACCCCATTTCTGGACTTGAACGAAGAATTTCGTCACATGACCTTGCAGGTGATTGGGGAAACGGCGCTTTCGCTGGAGCCTGAGGAAATCGACCGTATTTTCCCCGCCCTCTACCTTCCGATTGTTCACGAATGCAATCGACGGGTGTGGGAGCCATGGCGTACTTTTATGCCCTTCTTGGAGGGTTTTCAGGAGCGCCGCCGCTGCTTGAAGGAGCTGAATGACGTGCTTGGCGACATCATCCAGAAACGGTGGGACGATCGCCACAAGCCGCATAAGCGCGACATCATGGCTCTTTGCATCTCCCAAATTGAAAAGATGGATGCCGCAATGGTGTTGCAGCTGCGCGACGATGTGAAAACCATTTTACTGGCTGGCCACGAAACCTCAGCAGCGCTACTGACATGGGCAACCTATGAGGTGATGTGCTGCCCCGAGGTGCGTGACAAGATTGTGGAGGAGGCGCTGCGGTTGTTTGACCCGGCACGTTGCGAGAAGAAGATTGCGACGCCGCAGGGGAAGACGTGGGGCATTCCCACCGCATCCGATGTGCGCAGCATGCTGCGATGGTCTCCGGCTGTTCTCCGTGAGACGCTACGAAAACACACTGTCGTTCCCTTGGTCATGCGTCGTGCGGTGAAGAGCGACGTATGGCCTGCCGCCATGACTGGACTAGGCAGGGATGTGACCATTCCCGCAGGTTGCACGGTGGCGGTGGGGATGCGGGCGGTGCACCATCGTCCGGACCTCTGGCCGGACCCGCAAGCCTTCAAACCGGAACGCTTCCTTGACGTGGGGCTTGAAGCTGGCAGCAGTTCCCAGAGTAACGAGGTCCGCCAGACCTCTATTGACCCATATGCGTTTATTCCCTTTATTAACGGTCCGCGCAATTGCCTGGGCCAACATCTTGCGCTTATGGAGACATCGGTGGTATTGGCGTACCTGTTTCTTAACTGGGACCTGCGCTTCTACGGCGCTGACGCTTGCGCGGGTGATGCGGGGAGGCGCTCCTTCCAGGAAGAGGCTGGCCGCCCACACGAGTTTATGGTTCCCATCGTGCCCAATAACGGCCTCCGGGTGGTGGGGACGCCCCGCAAGGAGGTGTAGAGAGGTAAAGACCATCGCCGCGAAAAGGAGCCACCAAAAGACGACGACGAAAAGGTAACATAAACGGCACGGCAAAGTGTGTAAGGTTGGGATACAAAAACACGCACGCGAGAATAGGCGGTCTTGAGGAGCGAGGGACGCGGCTTGTTATGTGCCCATGCTTTTGGGGGATGGGGGTTTATCGTTGTTCTTGTTGTTTTTGTTTTGTTGTGTGTGTGTGCGTGTTAGTATTGGCTGCGGTGCGTGTAGTGGGAGAGGGGCGGGGGGACGGCGGAACTTCGACGTTGTGCCGCGTGTGTCGCCCCCGCCCCCGTTTTTTAAAAATTCAAAAGCGACAATGAGAGTAAATAGCGACGGTGCACTGCGTTACTGTAGCCCCCAACAGGGAGTCGGGGAGGCATGTCTGATTGGAAACCCCACGAAGCCACCGGGGAAGAAGCGAGGGACGCTGTTTTTCTGGGACGAAGATTTCCTCTTGGTCATGTTCAACTGCCACACGCGCCCGGCAGTTCGCGCTCTTGTGGCTGTCAAAACAACAACTACGGGAACGGTGGACAAATAATACGGACATCTTTGGGAGGGACGGAGAAGAGGTGCGGTGCGTGTGCCCTCATGCAGCTGAATGACGGCAGCGATTGTGACTTTGCAGTGGTGAGTGACGTTGTGTTGTTGGCGATCCTGCGGCCCACCTCACGCGTCGCTACTCGTAGTTCTCCAACGCGTTGGACGCACACGCTCAGGAGCAATGATACACTTATATGCATAAGCTCCATTTAGTTGTCCGGCGAGGGCGTTTTTTCCTTTTCAAGAGCTACGACGAACGAGGCAACTTTCTAAGGGCATCGGGTTGTATCCTCACTAGCCCGATGGGGGGATGGTTGTGGGGGTTGCGCTCGATGGTTGCCACATTGGCACGATGGGATCAGGGCCGCATGGCTGCAGTGGACTCACGCTGCTGCTTTGACGGGGCGCTAGAGAGTCGTTTTCCTCTGCATCGTTGCCAGCTTGCGTGCATGTCTGTGTCTCTGTGTGTGTGTGTGTGTGTCTATGGACAGAGTGAGAGAGCGAGGGACCGATTCCATGCAACGTTTATGCGTGATTGCGAGGCGTCTCACTTTCTGGCCCTTGAGGTCGTTGCCGGGGACACGAGGTGGGAGCTGCATGCGCCACAGCCGGAGTGCGGCACTTTGCAATAACGTGCGTCGGATTCGCGGGGGAGTTGAGTGGGGCCGGAATGGTGATTGTCTCTGGTGGCCTGAGCGAAGGAGGCAAGGGCCGCTCGAAGGGGTTTGCAAATAAAAGTGTGTCCGCCCATTTTGGACTTCGCTCCGTCCATTTGGTGCCTGGGAAGTTGTCAATCCTTTTCTTTCCTCCTTTCTCTCAGATTAGTTCTGGTGGCTGCTCTGCCGTTTCTATGGCATTCGGCGGTAATGGAAGAGGGGTTCCGACACGGGCACGGCCTCAAGCGGGTGCTGCGTCACCTGCAGGAAAGGCACTGCTGGCTCGCAAAAGATGCTCACGTCTTCTTCCTTGCCGGGGACTGGCGGCACGACGTGATACGATGGGTCACCCAGCAGCAGCAGCAGAAGGATCGACGTGGGGGACGCCCGGTGGCTCCGCAAGGCTTTAAAGCCCAAGCACCGAGAAATTGGGCGCAGCTGAGCGATGCACTCACCTCCAAGAGGCAGTTTCTCGAACGAACGGTGAGTGCCCCGCAAGGAGGCGCCCGTTCGACAAACTTGTTCTGCGTGTTCGGCGCTGAGGAGCAGGGAATACCTTTGCGACGCAGCGAAGCGGGTGTCGGTGACGTGGCTGCCCTTCCTTTCACCGTGGCGGAGGCGGCGTCGTGCATTAGGCATCAGCGACACGAACTGTCGGGTGGGAACTCGGTGGAACTGTCGACATGTGTTAGAGCTGCGGGGCAAGCCTTGACTGGCGACAACGTGGGGGGACATGCTTCGCTGCATGAGTTGCGATCGACGTTTCTGCCTCGACAGGCTGTGGACCTTCTTGCGGTGGATTTATTGGGGGCAGCGGCGGTGGGAACGGCCCCAGCGCAATCCTTCATGGCAATCCAGACTCGAGAGTCTCTCGTGAATGCTATGGCGTTGGGCGCACACCTCCTGCGTCCCTCAGGTGCGCTACTGCTGCGCTTCCCGCTCTCAGTGAGGCTGCAGGACAAGCGTGTCACCGCTTCCGTCAGGCAGTATATGCGATGGAGTTTTCAGTCGTCTGCCTGCGAGGTTGACGGCGACCACCTGTACTGCGTGGGGTGTCGGCATACCACAGAGCACCCGATCACGGCAGGAGCGAGGACCCCGGTGCCTGGACTTGCTCAGCGCTCCGTGCCTCGCCCCAGGAGGTGGAACCCACGGAAAGGCACGGACCGGGGCTTCTTTGCGGCCCTGATGCCGAGCTTTACAGATGCGCCACTCGTGAAGGAGCCGCTGCGCCGTGCAATCGAGGAGGAGGCGCGCGCCTCTAGAAAGGTTGAAGAAGAGGCAGATATTTTGCTTCGCGTGTCTCTTGGAATGGTGGAGAGAGGCGCGCACCACAGCAAACGAGACGACTAGTGTGGCGTGGCGCTGGCCCCGGAGGCTGCTCCACGCAAGCTGCGATGCCAGTTGGATTCTTGTAGTTTTTAATACTTTCTCCTCGCACACGTACGTGGGGCCTCGCCCAAGGCACAACTCCCTTGCAAGTATGGGAGTGCAGCGGAGCCACGACCTTGTGTTATGCCCTATCCCCCTTGTTTTTGAATTTGTCTTGTATTTGTTTTTTTTTGTTTTTGCGTCCTCCTTTTGCTTTTCCTTGTAGTTAGCACCAGGGAAAGGGGGAGGGTGGTGGGCGGGATGCAGGCTCCGCGATACGAGGCGCCGGCTGTGGCGGGCAGTTCCTTCTTCCGGCTCTCCGACTGTTTGTTGCTGCTGATTGGGTTGGTGGCGGTCTACCTGGCGGTGAAGCTGGAGTACCAGGTGGACCTGCTAAGCGCCGTGTGGAACGTGTACTTGCGGCCCAACTACGACGATGATCTTTGACTTCTCTCGACGGTTGACTCTGCCCGTGTTTGCGGGGCGGAGGAGGAGGAGGAGGAGGAGGGGGCTTTGACCTCCCCCCTTTTGTATACTTTCGTCACTTTCTGCCTTGAACAGCGGCAACGGCCGCAAGAATCTTCTGCCCGCGCGAGGCGGGAGTCTTGCGTAGTTGAAGCTGACCCTCCTTGCCTTCTTAAAATTTATGCTTCCCTTGTTTGCCCTCCTTCTCTCCCCACCGGAGGGGGTTTACTTTTGATTGGGGACTCATTCATTTGTTTGCCTCCCGGATTTGTTTTCCTTCGCCCCCGCTGTTATTGTGCATGTACCCGCTCCGTTGTGCTCTTCTACGGTGGGCCCTTCCCTGCGCGTCTGCGCTGCCTCCGGCGGCTAGTGTTGATCACAAGTTCTAACAGGACCCCAGATTCCTCCTCCCGTGAAAAACATGAGCGTGGCACTGTGCTCGATTGCCTCACTTTTCTTTCTGCTGTGCGCTTTCCCGCTTGCCGATGGAAGGCCGGAGAAAATCCAGTTGCCCTTTCCCATCGCCTCGCAGATGAGCGGGGAGTGGGGCGTGGAGGTGCACTCGCCGTGCGATCCGTCTGTCGTCACAGGCACCCTCGCCTTGGAGGGCGAAACAATGACGATGCACTGGCAGCATGACGCCTTTTCGGGCCCTCAACTGGAGTCGGCGACAAGTGAAGGGGAGACCGCGCTGCAGGTCGGCGGGTTACATGCGTTCACCACACGTTCGCGGGGGTTGACGGCGCTGCTGTACACCATCTGTGGTGAGAGGCAAACAAATACGCTGCACACCCCGCATCGGCCTGGGCTTGAGAACAAGATGGACACGACGGTGCTCACGGAGTACACGGGGGTCCTACTCAAAGATCCTGCGGATGCGTTGAGCACATGTCAAACAGCAGCGCCGAATGTGTTTATTCGCCTGCTTGGAAGCGACCTCCGCGGGAATCTGAAGGGATCTCTGCAATTTCTTGAGATGCAATTCGACGTGGCGAATTTGACGGCGCATTGCGTGGAAACGAGGGAGGCATCCGGGGGACAACACGGGTCTGCGAAGAAAGACACGAAGGGGAAAAAGGGCAGAAAGCGTCGACTGGGCGGCGCCAAGGTGACACGCGGCGAGCATGGGACTGTCTTGGACCAAGGTGCAGTGGAGGGATCCGTCGTCCTCCGGTTTGTGCGTCGAACACCAAAGTCCAAGTAGGGGCCGAGTGTGTCGCAGCGCGGCCAGTGCGCTTTTGGGCCACGTTGAAAGGAAAGAGGGTGCCTGCGATGATGGTCTGCGGTTGTGTCTCCAGCCTTGCATGGCCCCATGCGCGTCAAACGTCTTGCAGTAGGAGACATCGGCCTTTTACGTAATTGTTTACATCCGTTTGTTTCTCTGGAGTTCACCTGCGTTTGGAGGCGCGGCGCGTGCCCCTTGCGGGTGCGAGGACGGAAGTTGGGGTTTTGACTGCCTTCTTTTTCTCGCCCTCCCTTTTGGTTCTTCTCGCTAGGCCCCAGTTAACAGAACGGCAACAAGAAAGGGGCAGGGATGCCGTCCGAGGCGGCTGAGGAAAGCTGGGTGGTATACTTGATAGAGCAAGGCTGGCTCCCATTGTTCATAATGGGGACGATTATGCTTGGGCTTCGGCTCTACAATGTGCGCCAGCGCGAGGAACAACGGACGTTGTTGCGCGAAAGCCTCGTTTCGGAACTTGCGTATCGAAACGCTCTGAAGAAACACCACCGATCTGACTGATTGCATGCTTTTCGCTGCACTCGTGTGCATTGGTATGAGGGGGATCACGGCGGCGGTTTTGCTCCCCAAGTGCATGTGTGTGTGTGTGTGCGTACGGTGGCAGCGATGCGGTCCGGCGCGCAGACATGGCTGCTTTAGCGCGTTCCCCGCATTCTGCGTGCGTGGTGTGTAATTATTTTTCAATTGTTTTTTTGCCGTTCCAGCAACACCAACGGCGGCAACGAGGCACCAGGGGGCGCTTGTAGGCTGTCCTGCGTGCGAGGTGATGCCCCTGCAACACGAATGTGCTCTGCGCTTCTTTCCTCTGATACCAGCCGCGCTTATTCCGAAGTGGGGGGCACAAGAAGGAGAAAGATAGAGGGAGAGAGGCGAAGTAAGCAATGTCCCTAGCCGACCCGGACACACAACATCTGGCCGTTCTTGGCTTATCAACAGGCAGTGAAAAGGACGCCCTCGAGGGGCTGATCGCCGGGGCAGCACGCGCCTCTTCCACAGGCTTCGCTGAGGATGCGGGTGAGGGGTGGGGGCTTCACGGCGGCTCCGCCCCTCGACAGCTGCCCACGGACCACGCAAGTCCAGCAGTCGAAGGCGGGAGCCAGCCGAAACGTGTTAGGCAGACAAGGGCGTTGGACACGGACGTGAGTAAGCACGAGGCGAACTCGGGAGGGACCGCGAAGCCACGAACCCTGCGTGGCCGCGCACCACGCTCCGTCGTTGCCGCTGCTGCGTCACGGCACAAAAATGTGTCGCCCGCGCCGCCGCCCTCGGTGGCGTTCCAGGCGGACAAGACCTGCAGGGACGCCGAGGCGCTGCCCCCCTTAGCTGAGCTTCTGCACAGCAAGCTGCTCCGGCCCGTGAACGAGTGCCTTCACATAACCTCCCTCACCCGCATTCAAAAACTGAGCTGGACGCCCATGGTTGACAGGACGCGTGATGTTCTTGTCCGGAGCGAAACTGGGAGTGGGAAGACACTGGCGTATGCTCTTCCGCTGCTGCAACAATTGCTGTGTGCGTGTGATGCGCAGCCCCTCCAACGTCAGGTTGGGACGATTGTTATCGTCCTTTGCCCCACTCGAGAGCTGGTGGTGCAGGTCACCGAGGTGCTCGGCGTTCTCACCCGATGCGCCCTTTTTCTAACTGTGGGTGGTATTCATGGCGGCGAAAATCGGCACAAGGAAAAGGCGCGGCTGCGCAAGGGGATCCCTCTCTTGGCAGCGACACCCGGTAGACTTCTCGACCACCTAAAGGCGACCGCGTCCTTTCGTGTTGAGGAGCTGCAGACAATTGTCCTCGATGAGGCGGATCGGTTGCTGGACATGGGGTTTGAACAGGCCATAAAGGAGATTATGGGGATGCTGTTGGAGCGCACAGAGAACGCGGCCCGCTCCCGTGTCGTGGGCTCGACCGGAGGGCAGGAAAAACACTCCCTCAAGCGCGTCCTGGTGTCGGCAACGATAACTGCTGGGGTGGAGAGACTCACGCATTTTGCGCTTCGAAGCAACGTCCTCCGTGTGGGGGAGACGGAGGACACCTTTTCCATTCCCTCCTCGCTTCGCCAGCACTACGCACTGGTGCCGGTCAAGCATCGACTCTCAACCCTCATAAGTTTTCTGCGTTCCCAATTCGATGCCGGCGCACAAAGGATCCTTGTTTTCGTCTCCACTGCTGATAGCGCAGAGTTTCATTACTATTTGCTCTCACGGCTGCGCTCCCCGTTCCGCGGCAAGAGGGCGAACGGACAAGGCAACACCGCAGCTGGACAGCGTGCTCACCGCCACCGCGTGAGGCGACAGGTGGAGGAGGCCAACAGGCACCTCCAAGACCACCGCGAGGACGTTGTCACCTTCGAGGATGATTCGAGCAGCGAGGAGGAGAATGCTGCGGGGCAAGCACTCGCAGAGAGCGACGCACTTCTTGATGCCAATATTTTCAAGTTGCATGGAAATATGCCACAGGTTGACCGCGCCTCCGTTTTTAAGGCCTTCAAGCAGCTTGATGCGGCCGCCCAGCGTTCTCCAAGGGGTGTTCTCTTCTGTACAGACGTGGCTGCCCGAGGGCTGGATATGCCGCGGGTGGACTGGATCGTGCACTACGACCCCCCGGCGGATCCGGCGTGCTACGTTCACCGTATCGGGCGCACCGCCCGCATTGGCAACGCCGGAGACTCCCTGCTG